GCTGAATGGGTGGAGCTTGTGTAACCAATATTTTGAAAACTATAAAAGATATGTGGCTTCTGTCTGCATCTTTTTTGGATCATTTGCACCCATTGAAGGAAGCCAGCTGTCATGTCATAAAGAAACCAGCTACCATTAAATGTGGCAAGGAACTGAGGCTCTTGCCAATGGCCTTTGGAAACATCTAGTTCCAGTTGACTATCACCTTGACTACATCCTCTTGAAAGACCCTTAGCCAGAGCCACTCACCTCAGCACTCCAGACTTATGATACATAGAAAAAGCATGAAATGACAAAAGTTTGTTTTAAACACTGCAAAATTTGGGGAGTGACTTGTTGTGCAACAATAGATAACTAATACACTGGCCAGTATGTTCAAAGACATCCTCCAGAGCAAAATGCATGTCTTTATCCATTGACATGAGTTACTTGGTAGATCTGTGCTCAGCTTTTGAGGTATTTAATGAAGATTGTTAACCCTATGACACCCAGAAAACACAAAAGCAGAGTTGAAAGGAAAAGGCAAATGACAGAAGCACAAATAGCAACGATAATGTGAAAGTGGTGGGCAAAYCTCAAAAGCTGCAGCTGCCTAGGGGAGAATTAGGAATGATGCTGAAGAATGGAGGAAACAGGCAACTGAAGGAACACGTCTTCCATCAAGAGCAACCTGCAAGCAATGAGGAAAAGCCACCTAGGAGATGGAAAAGCTGCCTATGCCTAAGACTCAGCACCAAGGTTGGATTCCTGGAGTTTTTTGAGGTTCAGAGTTTGACAAGACCTAGCAAAACAGCCACTGGTGGTTTGACCAAGGATGGCTTTTTGGCTTTAAGACCTATTTTGATTTTTACAACATCAAACTGAGCAGGAGTTGGTGTCTATGAAAATCTTCAATGTCAAGTAATTCTCCACTAAACCCACAGAGATCATTAGGAGGCAGATTTTCCAGTGTAGACTCCTACTTGTACAGARGTTGTTAACAATTCAAAGAATACAAACTTGCTTATGAGTAGAAAAGCCTTTGAGAACAGAACCTTAGGCCCTGATTCACACATTCATTTTAAAAAACATTTATTAAGCTCCAAGGTTGGGCAAGATCCATGCCCTCCTAGAGATTAAAAAAGAACAGAGAGAAGATAATAAACATATAGCCAAAATAAATGATGTCAAATAATGTAAAGTTCTATGGAGAAAAGTAAAGCAGGGAAGGATAGAGCGAGGGAACTGAGGGTATCTGCTATTGTTGGAAGGCTGGTCAGAAAAGGCTTAACTGTTGGGTGCAGTGATGCACACCTGAAACCCTAGTGACTGGGGAGGCTGAGGCAGGAGGATCACAAATTTGAGGCCAGCCTGAGCAACTTAGTGAGACCCTGTCTCAAAAATCAAAATTTAAAAAAAAAATTGTGGGGGGCAGGGGTACAGGGATTGAACTTAAGGGCGCTTAACAACTGAGCCACATCCCCAGTCCTTTTTAATTTTTAGTTTGAGACAGGGGCTTGCTAAATTTCTAGGGCCTCCCTAAGTTGCTGAAGCTGGCTTTGAACTTCTGTCTCAGCCTCCCAAACCACTGAGAATACAGGTGTGTCACCACACCCAGCTCAAAGTCAATATTTTTAAAAAGGGTTACAGCTGTAGCTCAGTGGTAGAGCACCCCTGGTTCAATCCCCAGTCCCACCAAAAAAAAAAAAAAAAAAAAAGGAAAAGGCAAAGGCTTGTCTGAAGAGGTGAGAGTTGAATTGCTTTTAGTCACCCTAGGCTTATCAACACACAGACTTAGAACTGCCATTCTCAACCTAACCTGTTCACAATTAGACAAGTGTCTACAGTTCAGTATGTATGCAGCTCAGAAGTGAGGGATGGAGAGAGAGATGATTGGCTTGTGCAGTAAATCTGGAGAAGGGAGAAATCAGAAAATGCTTTCCAGGTTGCAGCAACTAGTTTGGGCTTTACCTGGAGGACTAGGGGAGCCACTGGAGGGTTTTAAATTGGAAAGTGACAGGATCAACCTACTCTTTTAGGCTGGGTGTGGTAAAGTATCCCTGTAATCCCAGTGATTGGATAGGCTGAGGTGGCAGGATTGCAAGTTCAAAACCAGCCTCAACAAAAAATCTAGTGAGATTGAGATAGGGATTTAGGAAAAGCAGAGAGGAATACAAAATYTTAAGGGAAATACCCTCAAGCCTTTGAAATGCAGAATCAAGCCATTGAGATGCAGAAAACTGTTCCAAGCCTTGGCCCAGGCCCTTGTAAAATGAGGGAAATATGCTGGGGCATGAAAATTGACAGGAAATTGCAGCTCCATCCTGAATCTACTGCTAGTCCAGTCCCTGTTACAGCCCTTCTATAAATATTGGACCCCCAGCCCAGTCAGGAGGCAGCCCACTTTCTCCCCTGCATGTGTATCTTCCAGACAGAGATCTCTGTGTCTCTGTCTGGCTCTTGCTGACATTCATTTCCTTCATGTATGCCAAGAACCCCACTGGTCCCTCTCCTCTGGGAGCTCCTTGGACCCTTCTCTGGAGACATCTCTTCTTCTGTGACCTGCCTCAAAATTAAAAAAMTAAGGCTGTAGATGTGGCTCAGTGGTTAAGCACCCCTGGGTTCAGGGATTTATTATAATAAAAATATAATCATCTGAGAAAAGCACTGGGGATATAAAGCAAGGCATCAACTGATATGGCAAAGATTCAAAAGGCCAAAAGGAAAGAGGCACATGAACTCAATGAAATTGCCAGATTCACCAGCTATTGAGTATTAGGAATCAGGCATGGTGATGCCTGTGATCCTAGCAATTTGGGAGGCTTAGAAGGATTACAAGTTTGAAGCCATCCTCAGCAATTCTGGCAGCCCCTAAGCAATTTAGCAAGACCCTGTCTCAAAATAAAAAGTAACAAGGCTGGAGTTCAAATAAAAAGAACCAATAATAGTGTTTTGGGGTTAACTCCCCAGTACCAAAAACCAAACCAAAACCAAAAAAGCATTCATAAAAAGGGCTGGGGTTGTAGTTCAGTGGTAGAGCTTGCCTAGCACATGTGTGGCACTGGGTTCAAGCCTCAGCACCACATTAAAAAAGTAAATAAAATAAATGTGTTGTGTCCATCCATAACTAAAAAAATAATAATAATTTTTTAAAAAGAGAAAAAAAAAGACAAGATTTAGTGGTTGTGGAAGGTGAAGAGAACAATGACAGGGAGAAAAAGGTGGCCTCATTCATTAAGAACAAGCAAAAAAGCTGAGGGCAAGTGRATGGAAACGAATTCAGTGTGACACAAGAAGAGTCTGACATGCCTATAAGATATCCAAGTGGGGATATCAGCAGGAAGTTGAAAATATTGGTCTGGGACAGACCTGTGCCTGATATACATAGATCTAGAATATGAAGAAGAAATGAAACCAAGAGTAGAGATGCATATCAACTTTTGTCAGGGAAAAGAAAGGGTTCAATGACAAAAATCTAAAAGAGCCAGGMAGCTTGGTGCATACCTGTAACCCCAATGACTCAGGAGGCTGAGGCAGGAAGAGTCAAATTTTAAGCCAGCCTCAGCAATTCAATAAGGCCCTAGGCAATTTAGAGAGACCCTGTCTCTAAGATAAAAAGGGCTGGGGATGTGGCTTCCCTAAGACAAGGGCACTAGGTTCCATCCCTGGTACCACCAAAAAAACAAACAAACAAACAAACAAAAAAACCCTAAAGGAAAGCAATATTAACAGGACTGGCAGCTGCAGGGCAGGAACAGTAAAAGGTCAAAACAGAATGGCTAATCAGAACACGGAGAACAGTGAGAWAAGGAGCATTATGATTTCATAGTTCCATCTGATCATGTTCTGGGGAGGCCACTAACTTCTGAAGCTTTCACTCAACAGTTTTATTGAGTTTTTACTATATGCCACAGGTTTGGTTCTGGGGTGTGTGAGGGGTGGAGGGGCCACATGAGTGAAAAACAGAAGAGGCCCCGACTAGAAGCTTACATTTCAGTGCAGGAAACAGACAATAAACAGTTTCAATGGCTGGACAGCACCTGTAATCCCAGCACACTGGGAGGCCGGGACAGGAGGATCACAAGTTCAAGGCCAGCCTGTGCAACGGGGCAAGACCCTGTCTCAAAATAAAAGAACCAAAGGGCTGGGGACGTGGCTTAGCGGTAGAGCAGCCCTGGGTCCAACACCAGGATCCCTGCCCTGAACCCAAGGCGAGGAACGCTGTGGGGACAGGCAGCCTCCCTCGGAGGGGGGACCCCGTTAGAGGCCTGTGCAGATGTGCAGGCCGAAGACGGGGCCCCGAGCCTCCAAGAGCGAAGAGGGGCGGTTTGGAAGTGGGATGCAAAGGGAAGGAGCTGCCACCACCGAGGCGGGCGAGGACCCGAGGCGGGCGGGAGCGTGGCCTGGGCTGCGGGCCCGCGATGTCTATCGGAGCTCATGGACAGGCCGGCCGGGCGGTGCCCGCAGCGTCTGCACTCAGGGCTGAGGGCAGATGTCGTCAGCACAGGGAGGACAGGGAGGCTGCGGGCGCCCGGCGGGCGGCAGGGAGCCGCGGCGGCCGCCTGCCCTCCCGCGTGGATACCCGGCGGCCGAAACCGAAACTCAACTAATGGACGGTCCCGGCTCCTCCCAAGGCCCAGCAGAGACGGGGCTAGAGTGCAGATGCCAAGTGTACACCGCGCGACCATTTTACAGTGAACTGGTGAAGTCGTAAAACCCGCACAAGTCACTTTCACAATGACAGGGGAGGCCGCAGGCTTCTCGCTTGCGCACGGGCCCCCTCACCAGCGTCACTCTGAGGTAACAGCCTTTCTCTTCAAACGCTCCATGGAGCCCTGAGGGCGGGAGGCCTCCCCTCCCCACTACGGGTCGAAGATTGGGTCAAGTCACATTACGCGAACAAGGCTGGGTCACGCGCCACAAAAGGATTCGCCAGGCCGGGCGATCCGATCATTCTCCCTCCTTCTCCCATTGGCTACAGTCGTCGAGCTCGCCTCCCCCATTGGCTGCTAAGATGCCTCGGCCCGGCAGAAGAGGGACCCATCTGGTGCGCGTGCGCAAGCGTGGCGTGCCCTCGGCGCACTGAGCACGCGCGGCTTCGTGTTGGCTGGAGGAGGCGGGTGCAGCGGCACGCGCTGCGTCCCGGCGTCCTGCTCCCCTCCGCCGGTCCCGCCCTCCGTCGCGGCGGCGCGGTGCACCCTGGGATAGGGAGCGATCTCCGAGCGAGGCAGCAAGATGGACGCGGGATTCTTCCGCGTAAGTAGAAGCGCGGGGATCTGGGGTGAGGTGGAGGGGCTTCTCGGTAAGACCCGGGAGGAGGTCTAAACTCGGAACAGGGTAGCCCACGAAGGGAGGCCTCGGAGACACTGAGGATCCCCGGTGCCGGCGGACGCTCCCCACGGCGCTGCGGCGGAGACCGGTGCGCCCCTGCGCAGTCTCCTCCTCCGGGATCGTCCCCCCTACGCGGCGGCGGCGGTCGGAAAATGGCGTCGGGAATGGGCCGAAGCGGTACCTCGCCGCCCGCCTGGCGGGGCCTGCGGGCCAAGCCCGGCGCTTGCCGCCGGGTCCTGGGGCCTAGCGGAGCCCCGAGGAGGAAGTCCCTAGGGGGAGGCCGGCGGGAAGCCCGAGGTGACTGGCGGCGGGAGGGCCCGGAGCGTACGGTTTGGGGGTACGCTCCAGAAGAGCGTCTTGCAGGAGGAGGGCAACCGGGGGTGTTTAGCGGCTTCTGTTGAGGAAGCGGGCTCTGTCCTTCTCCTTCCCCCAGGTCCGAAGCCTTCTCGAAGGCGCCAGGTCAGAGTTCGCAGGCGCTCCCGCCCAATTTGATAGCCCTTTAGGGAGGGGAACGCAGATAATTTGTAGTCGGAACGTTTGAGTCGGAGGCTCTTAGAGGGCTGAGGGTGCAACGAAAAGTAGGCGCGTGTGGAGGCAGGTTACGGGGTGAATCCACTCCACTTCCCGCCCTCCGCCTTCCTCCCCCTCCCTCCCTCCCCCGTTTGTTGGACTCTTTGGGAGTCCGCTGGAGAAAAGGTGACTCTTAACCTAGGCTCTGCAGGCGCGGAAGGCACTTTGTCGTAGTTGGTTCTCCCGGCCCAGACTTCACCATTTTTCACGCTCCTGCTGGAGTCATATTGCATTCCTTTTGGAAATTAGCTCCAGATCGAGGTCTGGATGGGTGTGAAGGGACACTTAAAGGACTCAAGTTGACTACCAAGGATACCTTCAGGGTTTGCATATTCTTTTAATGCTTGGTAAACCGTATGTAAAGACCACTGGGTCCAAGCTAAAATCTCCATTTGTGTAATACAAGTTGATTCTTTCCCTAGAGCATATAATTTGCTTTTTGTGTGTGTGTGCTTAAAAGAAAAATTGGAGGAGAGGAAGGCCAGGGCATTAATAAAGAATTCTCTTGACTGCAAATCAGGCATTGGAATTCTTCTTAGCTTCAGATTTGCCAACTAGTTTTTCAACAAAAGTTCTCATCAAAAGTTGGGATATCGTTCTAAGCATTTAACTTAAGACACTTAGCCAGTTATTTGTTCTTGGTCATGCAATCAAGTAAGTTACTTAGGAATCATAGTTTCAAATGAGCTTGTCAAATTTTCACACTGCTGAACTGTCCGTTTTGTAATTTCCATCAACGAATTTGGTAGTGACTACTCATATCCTATGGTGCAAGAATAATATTTTCAAACAGGTAAAAACCTGTTCTTATGACTTTTGTGAAATATTTCCAGTGGAAAGAAGTTCCGATTTAAAAAAAAAAAAAAAAAAAACAAGGTGGTTGATACTGTAAAATTTAAGATGACATTTGCTTTTTCTATTGGTTAAAAACCTGGGAAAGAGTGCAATCTTTTATATACTATCTACAGTTCCTTAAATGTATGAGTTCATTGGATTTAAGCTCTGATTTAAAAGACTTTTAGAGCATTTAGTACACTGCTTACCAGGCTACTGCGTATTGCCGTTAAAGTGGAAATGGTATTTTACATTTACTGAGTGGCTGTCACCGGTACTTGAAATGTATAATTTCTATGATACACAACAAACCTGGGAAGTAGATTTCATTATCTTATTCCCCTCTGCCCCTTCTTCTAAATATTTACTTTTTAGATGGGTTTTATTTGGGGGTTGGGAACATAGTTTTAGTGACAGAGGGTCTATAATTCTTGTGCCCTGGTTTGATCCCTAGAATCACCAAAAAGTGTGTGTGTGTGTGTGTGTGTGTGAAAATTTTAATTTGACATGCAGTAACCATTATAAATTTATAGAGTACAATGTGAGATTTAAACACTTGTATACAGTTTGTCATGACAGATTAGGATTTTTATCATATCACTTTAGACATTTATTATTTCTTTGTTTTATCATCCCTATTTTAGCAAGTAAAGAAGTCTCATCCAAGGTTAGGTAACTTGCTTTGAGAACACAAGGCTGAGTAGTGACAGAATTGAGACTTTTACTTCAGGTTCTTTACATTCCCAAACAAAATTTTCTTGATCTCTTTCCAAAAAACTGGGGCCA